GGATTAAATTGGCGTTTGTCTTGATTCTGCCTTAAGTCCTTTCTGGAACAAGATTGTGGTAAATAAACTTACAGTGAACAAAGTATAATGTAAGACATATATGACATTCTCATTTTAATGAAATGTGCAGACAAAGAGGATTAATCTGATATTACTTTATTTCATTCATAGACTTCTGCAAATCCTCCTAAGGAGAATGTCTAATTATAAAAAACAGCTATTATAGCGAGTTGAATAATGACCTCCAAAGACAGCAGGTCCTAATCCCTGGAACATGTAAATGTTACCTTGTACGGAAGAAGGGTCTTAGCAGATGTAATTCAATCAAGGAATGTGAGATGGGGAGATTATCCTGGAATATCAGGGTGGGCTCTAATGCAATCACCAGTGTCCTGATATAAGAGAGGTAGAGGGACATTTGACATAAACAGAAGAGAAGAATGCAAAATGACCTCAGATGCAGAGAATGGTGGAGTGAGACAGCCAGAAGCCAAGGAAGGCCAGAAGCCAAGAAGCTAGAAGAAGCAAGGAATGGATTCTCTCCTACAGTCTCCAGAGGAAGTGTGACTCTGCCAAGACACCTGATTTCAGCCTAGTGATATTGATTTTAGATTCTGACCTCCAGAACTGTGAGAAAATTAATTTCTGTTGTTTTTAGCCACTAAGTTTGTGGTAATATTTTATGGGAACCATAGAAATCTAACAGCTACTATTTTAATTATAGTTAAGTGTAGAGAAAATTTTCTTTTTAACATTGGAGACAGGGAAATGCAAAAACAAAGCTATTTCCACTTGTTGTTGTTGTTGTGTGCCATCGAGTCAGACTCATAGCGACCCCTCCTTAGATTTCTGAGGCAGTATCACTATGGAAGTAGATTGCCCAGTCTTCCCTCCGAGGAGTGGTTGCTGAGTTTGAACTGCCAGCCTTGTGGTTAGCAGTCAAATGTCTTAGACACTATGCAACTAGAGCTCCTTATTTCCACTTAGAATAATAAAATATTGGAAGGTAGTCACAAGAATCAGGAAATTTTTATTCTAAAGGTCTGTCATACACTGCAAGATAATGCTATATTTCTAACAAAATTCCCTCCTGGATATATCAAATATTTTGTTATGTGCTGCTGAGTCGGCCCCGACTCATAGCAACCCCTCCTTGGGTTGCCGAGGCAGTATCACTACGAAGATAGATTGCCCAACCTTCCTTCCGAGATATCAAATATAGTATTCTCCAGCACCAGTGAAAAGCAACTCAGAACGTTGTCCTCCTCGGGTTTCCCTCTCGACAATGTTCTCTTGCCCCTCCTCATTGATACACTCCACTCAATTCCACTTCTGCGTTTTTCATTCTACTAACTTCCCAGAGGGAGCTCTGGTAGCATAGTGGCTAAGACACTTGCCTGCTAACCAGACAGCTGGCGGTTCAAACCCACCAGCCACTCCTCGGAAGGAAGGTTGGGCAATCCTACTTCCGTAGTGATACTGCCTCGGAAACCCAAGGAGGGGTCGTTATGAGTTGGGGTGACTCGATGGCACATAACAACAACAACAACAACTTTCCAGAATGTTCTACTGCATTGGTGGAAGCAAGCTATTCTTCTACAGAGTCATAGAACTTATTTGCAGAATTTCACTTAAGGGAAGGTTTTAGAAGAGTTGCTACATTTGTTGAGATACATTTGCAAATAATGGCCATAGCAACTGGTTGGTCCCTTATAAATGACCATGGCTTATCTTATCAGGAAATGCCTACTTAACCTCTCCTGTCTTTGCTTGTCTCTAGATCAAGAGATGGAAAAAGAGATAAGTCATCCTCACTCAATAAATGTAAAATAAACCATGCTTATGATAAAAGCCCACTCCTTTGGAAGTCACATGACTATCTTGGAATGTAAGAGGCAAACATTCATTTAGCCAGAAAAATGTGCCAAGTGGAAAATTTTTCCCTTTAATATAAACTATAAACGTTTTTTGTAAAGTTTTATTCTTAAAGAACTAAGTAGCCTGCTGCTTAAATGACAAAAAAAAAGTATGAAAACGAAGAACTTAATACATTGGAAAAATGGGGATTTAAGAGGTAAATGGTGCCCATTTGGTTGTATAAGTAAGAAAGTTGGGGTCATTCAAGACATCTTCTTCTTCATATCCAATCCAAGTTATTTTTTTTTTACTTCCTAAATATCTCTTGAAGGAGCTGTGGTGGCATAATGCCTAAGGCATTTGACTGCTAATCAGAAGGCTGGCGGTTCAAACCCACCAGCCATTCCTCAGAAGGAAGATTGGGCAGTCTACTTCTGTAGTGACACCACCTCGGAAACCCAAGGAGGGGTCGCTATGAGTCAGATCTGACTCGATGGCAGTAAATTTGGTTTTTTGGTAAGTTTCTCATCCTGGCTTACCACCAACCGAAGCAAACTCTATCAGGACTTGTCCATCTGTCTTTTAACTAGTCCTCTGTACCCAGTTAGACCCCATACAGTTATGAGGGAAGGAAAAGAGTGCATAAAGGGAGGGAGGAAGGGAGGGACTTAAATTGCATCTCTACTCTAATAATGTTAAGTTTTGAGTTGGGATGTGGTGCATACAGCATCAACTTTGCTACTATGTGATACCACTACACATCTCACATCTGTGAGTTTGTCATACTTTGCTGGCCTGCATGTTGCTGTGATACTGGATGCTATACCATTGGTATTTCAAATACCAGCAGGGTCACCCATGGTAGACAGGTTCCAGCGGAGCTTCCAGACTGAGACAGACTAGGAAGAGCTGCTAGGAATCGACTTTGGAATAGTAGCAATTGAAACCCTTGGATCATAACAGAATATTATCCAACATAGTGCTTGAAGATGAGCCCTCTAGGTTGGAAGGCCCCTCAAATACACAGGGGCTGCAAATAATGGGCTAGAGCCCACCAACAATCAGGAATATGGTGCAGGATTTGTCATCGTTTCCTCCTGTAGCATAAGGAGCAACCAGAGTCAGCACTGACTCAAGGACAGCTAACATCTTTGTGAGGTTAAACAAGTGATTTATTCCCTGTGCTTCTTCTCCCTGTAGAATGGGAATGACAACAGTAAAAACCTCATGAATCTGAGCTATTTTGATTATCGCCTACTAGACCAAACTTTTATAGGTCCATCTATGTGATCCTGTTTCATAACATTTAACATGGCAGCTGTTTTATATTTTATTTATCAAATAACTATCAAGTTAATGTCTATCTCCTCTTCTACTGCAAATTTCACAAAGCAAAAATCAAGTCTGTGTTTGTTCTTCCTAGCATAGTACCCAAAGGAGCTCTGGTAGCACAGTGCCTAAGGCACTTGACTGCTAACCAGAAGGCTGGCAGTTCAAACCCACCAGCCACTCCTCAGAAGGAACATGGGGCAATCTACTTCCATAGTAATACTGCCTTAGAAACCCAAGGAGGGGTCGCCCTGAGTCGGGTCCGACTTGACGGCACATAACAACAAGAAGCATGGTACCTGGCAAGGGAAACCACTGGGCTATTTGTTAAGTAAATCTAAGAAGTAAACAAATAAACCAAACCAGTGAGACCAATGGCTCTCAATCTGTAGTTTCCAATGTCTTCAGAGTTTGGATGAATGTTGGCTTACCTGCTGCAGTTTTCCTCCACCCCTAAGGCACAACAGAATTACCTTGGAAACTTTTAAACATAGCTATGCCCTGAAGATTACAGTATGACTAGTGTCGAGTCGCCAGAGTCAGTATTTAAGGCTCTCGGAGCGACTCTAGTCTGGAAGTCATGTTGAAAGCTCCAGTGGTGCTCCTACCTGCTCCAGCTCAGGTGTGAAGGCCGCCCTGCTTCTGCTTTTGAATGTGACACACTATCCCCATTCTTTTCGTATTCGGGTAATGGAGAAATACTGCAGGCAGAGTGCTATGGGCAAGATACTGACTGCTGGAAGGAATGAACAGTCCTTGCTGTTGGGTGGCTCTGGACCCACTCACTGGGCAAATCAAATTAATGATTTGGGAGGCAGCTTTTGCCTCTAGAGGAAGATCAGGTCATGAAACATCAGGGTTTTTGTTTTCTTTTTAAAACGGGCTTTTATTTACATTAAAGGCAGAATTTCCAACAGTGTAGAATAAAGGTGGTGATGACTGCTTCTAAGACCCTATTCCACAACCCATCCCTTCTTGACCTTGTCCCCAAGCTTGACCGTTTCCTATGTGTCTCTAGCTCCAAATTCTCCCACCTCTGCTCCTTTCCTCCCTTACTCCCATTCTTGTACGATTCCAATGGGATTTCCCAACTATGATCCAAACACGAGGTCACTCTTCGTGAAGCCTCTGTGGCTACTCCAGGGGGCGGCCTCAGTAACCAGTAACAAGGCGACCAGACCTCAGCCAAGGGACCCCATGCGATGCCCCCAGAGGTCGTTCCTCCGGATCGTGGGAAATCCAGAGGCGCGTCTCGGTCTGCTGGAGTCAGGCAGGCCAGTAACGTTCACCTGGCCTCGGAAAGCAGGTCTCCGCGCGGGAAGCCCCTCGTGTAACCAGGAGACTCGGGTCTCCGAGGACCCACCGCCTCCGCTCGCGCCCCTCTCGCCACCCAACTTCGCAGCCGCGGGACGCCAGCCCAGGGCCCAAGGCGAGAGGAATCGCATTCTCTGCCCACTCCCTCGAGGTAAAGGTAACCAATGCCGATTCTGAATCCTGCACAACAGGTCCCTTGGGCACCCGCAAGGTTCGGGAACCGAGATCGACTGGCTGAGGAAAAGGGTAGAACATTCCGTGGGTGCATTGCCTTCTGAAGGCTCGCTACATTCAACCTCTCCTTTACTTATCTCCCGCCCCAGAGCAAATGCTGGGTTTGGGGAGCAGAAATTACCCGAAGGCTCGGGTAGGAGCCGAGTTCTGGACTTGTGGAAGCGGCACCAGTCCTCTCTTTACAACAGCAAAGTTAGAAGATACAGGAACAGCTCCTCTGTGCTCGGCCCCAGAAATGCCCCTTGGGGCTATCTGCGCCCACTCACCTTGTGCCTGCGCCTCCATAGTGGCTGTCCTCGGACTGAGCGTGGCGAGTACGCCCCGGCACTTCGCAGAGCAACTGGCAGCGGTGCCTGCGCTCAGAACGCAGCTGGCTCCGCTGCTCGCGCCCTATTCCTGGCACGCGTGTCGCGAACGCTGCGCAGAAGGGGTGGGGGAAGGCGGCGGTCACCACTGGCCTCTCATAGTTACCTCCGCCCCTTGCGGTCCACCTGGCCCAGACCTCTCTGCAAACACGCTCGCGGTTCGGCGCCACCTGCCGACCGCTCCTCGTAGCGCGCGGAGGGCGCCCACTCCTGGCCCAGTAAATGCCAAAAACAAACAAACAAAAGAAAAAACCCTCCCAAACTCACCGCTATGAAGTCGATTTGGACTCAGTGATCACCATTGGGCTTCCAAGGTGGTAAATCTTTAGGAAAGTAAATTGCCCCATCACCCTTCTGCAGAGAGGCTGGTGGGTTTGAACTGCAGACCTGCTGGTTAGCAGCCAAGTACGCCAGAGCTCCTAATAAATGTCAACCAAAAAACCAAACTCACTGCCGTGGAGTCGGATCCGACTCATAGTGACCCCTCCTTGGGTTTCTGAGGCGGTATTACTACAGAAGTAGATTGCCCAACCTTCCTTCTGAGGAGTGGCTGGTGGGTTTGAACCACCAAACTTCTGGCTAGCAGTCAAATGCCTTAGGCACTATGCCACCACAGGTCCCAACAAATGTCAAAGGAACCTGAATTTGGCCCTATCCGGGTAGTGTGGGCTGTGTGCTCTGGGAGAAAGGCAAAGGAAATTAGATTTACAATACACCAGTCCAGACAACAGATGAGCTGAGAGAGACAGCCACTGGAGGCCAGAACCAGTAGATCTGGACAAAAAGGAGACTGCATGTTCCACCCATGAAAGAAACATTTGGAAAGAGCTGTTGGAAGACAACCCTGGGAAGTTAGAAAGTGCACATGAGAAGTTGTACCAGATTCTGAAACCCACTTTGGCATCTCTCCATTCCCTTCCTACCTCAAACAACTGTTCTTTTTCCACCTTCCACTTTTCTGCCCCCATAACTTTTTCCACTGCTTATATTCAGTTGGTTTTCCTTTCACTTCTCTAACTTTCCTTTGAAAGGCATCTAAAACCAAACCACTGGCCCTCTCTCCTTGGGGTACAGAGTGAAACAAGAGAGTAGTGACTTGGTAAGTGAGAGACAGCTGTTAACCTTGGCTGCACTCTGGACTTCAGTCTTAGGATTGCAATCTGCTCCCCTTGTCTGGGTGTGAAAGAAGGTAGATCCTTCCCCTTCACAGTTAAATAGAAGAGAGCTTCATTAATTGTTGTGCTTGAAAGGATAACCTGTCCAGGCTTATATGGTTGGTTACTGTCCCAGACTCCTCTTTCTGCATTCCCCATCCACGTCAAGCTTTCCATCTGGAACCACGTTTCTTTGGAGTCATTGTCTCTGTCTGTGTTAGTGTGTTTATGGTAGAAGGTGAAAGAAGACAGTCACTTGGTAGATGTATAAGAAACAAATTTGCACGTAAGTGCTTCAGGTGCACATCCCATCTTATACACATACCAGTTTTCATTTACCATGAGTCAGCTGGGAGTACAAAGGCATAGGACCGATTTCAGGAATAAATTTTTATTAATCTCTATGGGAGAGACCATTATATGTTCAGACAAAACCATTCTCTCCTCCACTTGGACAGACAGTTGGACTGTATTTCTCAGCTACTCTCTTGTAGCTGGATGTGGCCACACGGGTGAATTCTGGCCCATGGATTATGAAGGAGATGACAGAAACCACTTTCAGGCCTAATCAGTTAAAAAAACATTTTTTTTTAAATTAAATCTCAAATGAACCTCTCTGCATTGTTTCTTACCTGCCTGTTAGTCAAATTCAGAAAATCTAACAAAAGACCTGAGGTGCAAGGGGATGGAAAGGCCACAGATGGATGGCATTGTGGCCACGAACTATTCATGTGGAACCTCGATCACTGGACTGACTATTGGATTGATGTGAGGAAAATAAATTTCTACTGTGTTTCAACAATGTGATTCCAGGTGTGTGTTATCTGTTATAATATCTAGTTTTACTCACCCAAGTAATACCAATACCTCTTTCAAACTGTTATGGATACCTGACTTTTGTTTGGAGTCCTTGGGTGGTACAAAGAGTCCAAAAGGTTGGATGGCAACTGGTTTGGTTTGGTTTTTACTTTGCTTTTTTTTTTTTTTTTTTCTGTCTTATTTTAGTTTGTTTCCCTGCTCAGTGTCCATTTTATCTTCTGCTAGTTGTACCTAGTTTCATTTGGAGAACTTCTCCTCTCGGACTTTAAAACTTTCCCTAATATGTTGTTATTTGCCGTTGAGTCGGACCTGACTCATAGCGACCCCTCCTTAGGTTGCCGAGGTGGTCACTATGGAAGTAGATTGCCCAACCTTCCTTCTGAGGAGTGGCT